CACCCTCTACCTTGTACTCAATCAGAGAACAGGTTGGAGGGTACAGCATGAAGGTGGTAATTTTCATGGGGTATCAATATGCAAGAAACATAATGGGGGGCAGCACTAGAAGGGTGGGAAGCAGGCCACCTGGCTGGAAGCCTGGGGACAGAGGAGCCCACAGCCTCTCCCTACCTTCTGTGCCACCACCTTCATCTCAGTGATGTAGGCGGACATGGCCTCCTCCCTGCTCATCTTGCCCAGGCTGTTCCAGGCATCCCTGGGGGGCAGAGGGCTGTGAGAGGCTGATTGATAGCTGAGGCTTGTTTGCCCATCTGTGGGGAGCTCACCACTTATATCGTCCAATGGGGTCCCAGAACCCAGGCCGGGGGGCCAGGCAAGGCCCCATGGTAGCCTGTTTGTAGTAGCTGTAGAATCGCAGCATCTCTTCATAGGAGGGGCGGTAATAGCCTGGGCAGGAAGTTGGGAAGTGGAGGGCAGAGCATCACCCCCAGGTCCAAGAAGATGGAGGTGGGGGGAGAACCACCCCTTGGAGAGGGCAGAGATGAGGGGTCTACCCAGGGGCAGGAGGCAGAGGGGACCCCCAGGACAGCCCAGGCAGGGACTTGTCTGCAAAAACTCACCGGATCAGGGCCTCCTAGGATGTAAACCCCAGTCATGTTGACCCCCAAATGCAGGTCCCCATGCCCTCACCCTTACTGTTCTTAGGCAGGTTCTGAATGACTCTGACTGCGGCCTGGAACTGTTCCTGGCAGTCCGGTTCTGGGCTTTCATTCTTGGTACCCATCCCCAGCTGCTCCAAGGCCCTACTTTGGAACGACTCTGTAAGAATAAGCCTCCGTGTGAGCAGGCCTCCAGCGTGACCCTGGCACACGCCTCCTAAGCCACTGATCCACTTCCCAGAGAGGCAAACTAAGCTATTCAGAGGCCTGAATGAGATACCTGGGAAGGCCAGAAGCTGTGGCTGAGGAGACACTTTTTCCTACCCCAAGGCAGCGTAGGTGAGTCCTGGGTGCGTGGAGAGGACCTCCGTGGGTGAGTGGAGGGGCAAGTGGCAAGGGGTCGCAATGCCCCTCTAGATACACATCTCCAACTTCTAAAAAGGCGAGTGGGCGAACAGACTCACACCCTGGTCCCCGCACCCCGGCGCGGCCCAACCTCCCGTCACTCACCCCGCAGAGCCTACTCCCAGGACACCAGTGTCCTCTCTCGCCATCAGCTGGAGGCTTCCTACTGACCTCCGGGCCGAATAGGGATGCGGAGCGAGGGGGGGAAATTTAAACCAATGAGAGAGCCCGTTTCAGATCCGGCTTCTATTCCCAGCCACTCAACGCGGCTCTTTCATGATTATGCAAATAGTTTGGTTGTGCCTCTCCCAATCAGGCGGGGCGAATCCGCGGGTCGGCTCCCCAACCCTGGACTGCTAGAGGCGGGCGGAAGCGCCTCCTGGTGGACACGGTGAAATGACACGGAGTCCTCGCGCCTCCTGTTGGAAACCCGCATCTGTCAGCTGAACCCCGGTCCTCTTACCACCCGTTGTAGAGAAAAAAGGGAGTCATATGTTGGGGTCAGGAGTTCTGGAGGAGGGGCAACGGAGCTGAGTTTTAGAAGCCTTAAGAGTAAGCCAGGGGGAAAATGAGGAAAGTCATTCCTGGAGGAAGAAATTAGGATATCAAAAGTGCAGAGGCGAAGACTTACTTGACATTCAGAAAGAACATCCAGAGAGGGGTGGGAACCCCAACCAGCATACAGAACTTCTGGGTCGGGGGTATTTGAGAATGGAATAGAGCCTGGAGCAATTAGATGGCAAATCTTGGTCCTAAGAAACTAAGCTTTCTCTTTGAAATGTCACGCTCTTGGCCGCCGCCAAGTGGCTGTGTGCGCCCAGCTCTCGGAGCCTCCACCTAGGGTACTTAACGGCAGACAACGCAGACGTGCGCGCACACGCAGTCACCTGTCCATCCCACCCTTCATGCACAAATACGCAGGTGGTTTCACATATAGTAAGTGTACACATGACACCAGAACCTGCACTCGACCCACGGGTTGATGTCACTGACATCTACGCAGCTTGCAGCGGCCGTCCCGGGTTGACCAAGCACGCGGCTAGGGTGCCAACTCATCCAAGCCTCGAACCCCAGAACCCAATTCTGCCGGCGACTCTAGACTTAGCGCCACCCCATCTTCTCCAGACCAGTCAGCTTCGAGACTTTTACCACTGAGGGGTCGGCAACCGGCCGAGCACCGAGAGGGTTAATCCTATGATGTCACAGCCGGAGTCTTTCTTACCCCCACCCACCACTTCCCGCTCCCCACCCCTCCGGTTCGGGCTACACTGCCACCTGGCTCAGCTCCCAGGGTCCTTGACCCAGGACGAGCTGCCTTGCACACCCCGTTCCCTGTCTGGCTCCCTTCTGAGGTCTCAAGGTGAGACCGGAGAAGGGGAGGGTGGTCCTGAGTTCACACTGAGTCAGGGTCCGGGGGAAAGGTGTCTGTGCCGAGGGCAGCCTTCGCCCCCTCCGGTGCCCCCAGTGGAGGTGCAGGTCGCGAATGAGGCCGGGATCCGAGGACTGCTGGGTGAATGGGGACTCATGAGCAGGGGGCAACGCCGAGACTTGGTGGGAGAGGGCGGCTCGGAGCCGACTCCTCTCCATACCTCGGGGAAGGCCCAACTCCCCGCCTGAAGTCACAGCCCCCTCTCTGCCGCCGCCTCGCGCCTCCCCCGCGCCATCCTCAGCC